TATTCCAATTGGAAGGGTCGCGGTTTAGACCCAGAGCATTGGACAGGGCGACTGCAGTCCCAACCATCCCCCCATTGCCGAACATGGAGGTACTTGGCCTTCCACAGACATTCAGAATAATCGCCATGACCGTTGATATCCCGGGAGACAGGAATAGCTCCGAATGGAGAGCTTCGTTCGCTTGGTTCCAAATAAAGCGGATATCAGGATAGTGGCCGGACCGCAAACTAGGCGAGTTCTCCCAGTAGATCAGAGCGTTAGCATACAGATTGCAAAGGAGAGCCGGTGATATATTTTCTTTATGTGTGCAATAAACATGTCGAAAGGACATTTCATCGAATATAGGAAAGCATATGTTCACGTAGTGAAAGAACCTACATATTACATGGAAGCAATCAGCCAGTGCTGAACGGTTGGGAGTCAAGTTGACTACTCACAGGTCCACAACATCATTGACGCCTGGCTCTAGGTATTTTTCGATGAATTCGCACTTTGTAGCGGGAAGTGACTGGTTTGCAGAGACTCCTAATGGCCGCCTGGGTACAGTGTTGAACAGCACTGGTCTGACAGGCCGTCTCGAGTTCGGATCCGTCCGAATTATCGACCTCCGCCGAGCATCTGGAACGGTAGAGAGGTAGCTCTCGAGGACATCGTTATCTTCGGCTACTGCAGGACTGACTATATGTGAGCTATCGTCGCCGGCCTCGGCAACGATACCCACTAGGTTAGGAAAGGCCTCTCGACTAAAATGGTCATGAGTGGGAGGGCACGATGGTGCCTCTAGACTGGCTGCGGGCCTGTTGATTATTTGTAGGCCGAACTCTCTTTGGGGGCTAACTGTGTCTACTGCATGATTGGATGCCTCTTGGGAGTGAAGGGAGGCTGACGCTGAACGCCTCTTCTTCGGTTGTGCTGCCCGTGCCTGTCGTGACTTGGGCGTTAACTTCCGCGGCAAAGCTACAGACCCTCGTTGGGAGTTATCCCCTGGCCGAGGATAGATACAATCGGTACCATGAGCCCGACACATGATGCATATGCCGGACGAGTCTGTTGTCCTGCAGCGGGACTTGCGCCTTTTGCAAGGTAGACAGGCCGGATACAGGTGAGACCGATATGGCCTGGCTTCAGCGCTGTCTCCCTCATCACGAACACTGGGGTCTCCCTCCATCTCAGCTGAGTATTCACCTTTTTCCTTTGACAAAGGAAGGTGAAGATAGAAGTCACAACAATACAAGGTGGGGAGAAGGAGTCGAGAGTATGGTCCCGCGGCAAACCCCGCGGCCAACTCCACCGATCTTGCCTACCCGCGAATGAGATATGAAGATGGGGTATACTCACACGATCCGCGGCCAACTCCAGAGTATACTATACGCTGTCTCGCCGCGGAACATCTGGCCGCGGTGCTCATAGTTGTTATATAAGTGACAGCCCTGTCAAAAATGAACACTAATATTTATACCAAGTTTCGCTGGCTGGCTATCTCAAACAGCTTCCTATCTTCACCATCTTCATACTCCATCTAGCTCTCAAGTCAGACTAAAACCAGTATACACACCATGGCCTCCACAGATACAACCGTATTCTTTTCCATGGCGGACAAATATCTAATGAAAACGGGGGTCCCCTTCTCCCCGCTCATTGTGAAAAAAGCCAAAGGCACCAGACTTTACGATGTCAATGACAGACAGATCCTCGACTTCACCTCTGGCCAAATGAGCTCTCTCCTGGGGCATTCTCACCCGGAGATCGTCGAGGTAGTCCAAAAGTACGTCGCAGAGCTCGACCACCTCTTGAGCAACATGATCACCTACCCCGTTGTCGAACTCGCAGAACGCCTATCCCGCTTCCTCCCAGCGCCTCTAGAAAAATCCTTCTTTCTAAACACCGGTTCGGAGGTCACAGAGGCGGCCATCAAGATCGCCAAATGCTATACTGGCAAATTCGAAATTGTTGCTTTCGCCGCAAGCTATCACGGATTAACTCAGGGGTCGGGCTCGGCGACCTACTCAGCCGGTCGTAAAAGCGGAGGCCCCTGCATGCCGGGCCAGCTTGCCTTTCCTGCTCCGTATGCTTATCGCTCGCCGTTCCGGAAGCCCGATGGATCGTACGACTGGGAGGCAGAGATGGACTTCGGCTGGTCAATGATTGACCGTCAGAGTGTTGGCTCCTTGGCTGCGTTTATTATGGAGCCTATTCTCTCCACAGGCGGTATCCTCGAGCTTCCCGCAGGATATCTGCAACGCATGAGCTTGGAGTGCAAGAAGCGCGGCATGTTGATCATTATGGATGAAGCCCAAACCGGGGTTGGTCGAACTGGTCAGATGTTCGCTTGTGAGAAAGACGGAATTGTACCCGATATCCTTGCCTTGTCGAAAACGCTTGGATGTGGTTTGCCCCTTGCATCTGTGAGTACAACCGCTGAAATCGAACGCGGATGCACGGAAGCTGGCTTCCTATGGCTCACTACCCATCTTAATGACCCGCTTACCGCTGCAGTGGGCAGTAAGGTCCTCGAGATCGTCGAGAGGGATAACATCTGTCAGCGAGCTGCGGAGCGTGGTGCACAGTTGCGCGACGGTCTCCTTAAGCTGCAGGAGAAGTATTGGTGTATCGGCGATGTCCGTGGCCGGGGTCTCTTACAGGGCATCGAGATTATCTCTGATGCGGAGACCAAGACCCCTGGGCCAGGCCTCGGACAGGCAGTTTCTGATCGGGCCATGGCAGGGGGTCTCTCCTGCAATATTGTCAATCTTCCAGGTATGGGGGGCGTGTTTCGTTTGGCTCCGCCTGTTACTGTTACCACTGAGGAGATTGAAGATGGTCTAAAGATCTTAGATGAAGCGTTTGGTTATGTTTTGAATGAGAGGAGTAATTGGGCTGTTTGAATATCGAATATCTTTTCTGTACTTGATCAGCATTTAGGCTATGGTTCATAAATTAAATGATGGTTCTATCAGGAAACCCTGTATCAAGGCGTATATAATTCTGTGGTGTCAATTCTTACTTTCTCTTGTCTAGCTTGCCTTACTATGGACGATGGGTTTTACTGCTTCAAGCCGATGGCCGTGAGGCTGTAAAGTTGAGACCTGTATGTTTCATGTAATACCAAATGTCTTAAACCGGGGGCAATGCTTGATCCAGAATTGTGAAAAGCCTTGCCTTATTGCTAAATAATACTGCCTCTCAGTTCCACGTCTATCAAATCGAATAAGAACCAAACAGGGAAGCCGTCGCGGTTCATAGGTCTCCCTGCACAACCACACTGCCATGATTCTTCACCTTTTGCTAGACTTCTCGCGCGTACTCATTGCCAGATATTCTGGAACTCCTTGCTTCATCTAGGAAGAGAGTCGCGAGATCAAGTTAAGTGACAGAGTTTCCATTGTAAAGGCCATAGAACTTTTCCTGAGTTGTCGCATTTAGACGCAATCATTCCATGGCAGTACCATCTTCGCTCTGGAGCTTGATAATTCCATTAGCAAAGGATTCAGACTATCGAGGCGGCAGTGCTATACGAAGGCAAAGTGGCAGGGTCGGGGGCTATCAAAAAATTAGTATGTAGCCTCTTGACCGAGGCTCCCTGAAGGGCTGGTCATCTAGCTATAACTGCCAACCAGAGCCTGTCCACCATCGCTACCCATCTTGCGTATAGGCAGCCGAGGATGGAAAAAGAGAGTATATAAGCTTGAATGCAATCCATGCAGGCTTATAGCAGGATAATTTTCTCAATCGGGGCCTGTGATTTCTACATTTGGTTGCAGGTGAATTTGGGTCATGCCATGTCTTGTGGGTCAGCGGGACAACCTGCTTGGTACATATATTTAGTCACGTGTGACTTACTAGATCCACAAAACCAGAATTTTGTCTTTACTCTTCAAGTATTGTTTTTATAATTTTACTGATACTACAGTTGAAGCAGTTGAAGCAGTTGAAGCTAAGGATTGGTGCAGAATACAGACTAGATAGATACCTACTAGGTAGTATATACCTCGTACTACTAGTAGTAGGGACAGGACTTCAATTCAGCGACCAATCACAATCCCTACAGAGGAACCAATAGGAGCACAGATTCCTTTCAGAAAGTCTGGTTAAACTGTTTGCTACGCTAACGCTCCGCTGCGCAACACAAAGGAATAGGGCCCTATCTGCCAACCTTAGATGGAAGAGTAAAATTGCAATTTGGCTAAAATCTGCATCCAAATACCCAGTGTCCCTCAGTGAAGCAGCTATGTACAAATGGAAAAGTATCGGGGGTAAGATCGAGCTCACTCGAATAGTGTTGGTAAACAGAATTTATCATGTATTAAGGCAACATAGCTACCTGGTGACAAGAAGAAATGCCTATAATATAAACCGAAACACAGCTATGAATGAAGTTCATAAAGGTTGATCGACAAGATTTCAAACATACAGTCCACCCCACAGTAGAGATTTTATAGACCCGATACTTCGATTGCACCGATAATCACAGTAGCCAATACACAAGTGTGCAAGTATCGGGGTACTGAAATTTAATAATATTATTCCTACCTCTTTAGACCAAGGCATGTGTTAGTATCTAGCTGAAGCCTAGCTTCTATCCTTGCAACTAAGGGGTTCCGCAGAACCCTGCCAAACAGACAGACAATATCCCTTTATATGAGATTATATACAATGAAACTGAGGATAAGGGGACGGACTAGAACAATGAAATGGCAGTAGAATAGATTTAGTACACGGTATAGGGTAGGAGGTGTGCCATACAACCGCACTTAACAGTTATAGGGCAGTACTAAGGACACCATAGAAAAGTGAATGTTGATAGTGAATATTTAAGGCCGTTGCTGTCCCTCCTTCCCACTCACCTACTCACACACTCAAATGTTGACTTCCTTGATGCATTAGAACCAGTTTCAACAGCATCAACTTCATAGTATTAATATTTCCCGAATAATCTCCCCAACCCTTCACCTTTCCCCACGCTATCATGGATCAGCCTTGCGAGTGCTTTAGGAACGGCTATGATGAGTGTCTATGTCGATTCTGTACGAGATGTGGAAATTTTGGCCATACAAAATATCACTGCAGAGCAAGGCAATGTGGCCGATGTAATTCGTGGCATTTGTTAGGAAAATGTCCCCTTGACGTGAAACAGTATACCCGTGAGCGAAGAGCGAAGAGCCCTTCATCCACACCAGAAGGGCTTCTTCAGCCAAGCACGAATACTTCAAATGAAGTAAGTTGATACCGGTCTAAAAACCATCAAGCATACTGGAGAAGTGCTTAATGAAACATACAGAGCGATATTTCACAGTCTATTGCCAACGCTGAACCACCTAAGGAAAACCAACTGAATGAGACCCCTGGTGGTGGAGGGCCTGCAACGACCAGAAACAACTTTACCGCAGGGGTAGTTGGGGAACCACTACAGCTCCAGAATATTGGGCCTGTCGATCGTACACTCATCCTGAAGCAACTCATTTCAAAAACAGCAGAAAAGTATGAAGGGAGGTATACGTCGATATTAAACACAGAAGATGTTGGGACAATCCTGGAACAGAATTTGAATCCCACTGTAAGAGACATCTGCAAAAACGGTGACTTTACGCTCTCGAAGTATATCACCCGCTTCTTTTCCCTCTCTGGCATGTTGTTAATAGGGGAAACAGTCTCATAGCCATTGGCCAGAACCCAGAAAGCCTATCCGATTGTGGAGTATACCTCCACATCCTTTGGAGGAAGAGCAACCCACAAAATTTCTGGTTATACGTTGGACAGGCAGCAGAGCTTCGAGAACGTATTCGAACGCATAACGATATCTACCGCCGGAAACGCAACCCATCCCTGCATTACCATGTTTGGGACTCAGCTGAAGATATTGAGTCAGTATTCGTCACACTAGGCTTCAGTGAAAAGCCAACATCTGTCAAGACCCAGCTATTGCTGAACCTACTCGAAATGTGGATGGCACTGGTCTTCCAAACACTGACATCGGTGCACCTGGATCAGTATCTACCCGAGAGTGTGAACAAACTCTGGTCGGGGAATCACCTCAACGTTGCACTGCCTTTGTGGCAAGGCTTCACAGAGGAGGACCAAGCTGTAGGCCTCGCAGTTGGTGGTCGAATGTCTTTTCAGCAGCATTTATTTTCCGACGACCCGACAATTCGTCAATGGGCAGAAAATGCAAGAGACGCGTTTAATGATATCCGAAACTCTCCCGACGCTTTACTGAGACAGTATTATCAAAATCTTCTCTCCAGGTGTCGAGCCCGGGGCCAGGAAGCCTCGCAGAGAAGAAAGTCGATGAACATCATGAAATACTTGGAACCAACAAAGACAACAGTAAAGACGTCCCATGAAGGTGAACTATGCGAAGTATTATGCGGTTCCTTCAGATTTACAATCTCACAGTTGCTTGGACTACATTTGAAAGCTGGTGACCAAGTTTTCCTTCAATTCCACCTAGCAGGAAGCCGTCACCCCAACGCCTATGCTCAATTGGCTGAAACAAGAGACCCAGCGAGTCGACTGGCAGTTTCAATCAGCGGTCATGATGCCCAGGGAAGTTTCCACACCTGGCTCCAAACCCAGGGAATTCGAAACGTCTACAAAATGAATTCTCTAGTGGATGTGCTGGAGGGTTTTTCCTTCGAGGAAAGCCAAAAATTCGAACGACGTTGGCATTCAGTGAGGCTGGTTGCTGGTGATGGATCTTCACGGAAGAATGTGTATACTTGAGTACAATCCAAGGGAAGGGGGAAAAAAACATAGGAGTAGCATGTCCTGGTTTCGATCCAGGGACCTATTGTTTGTTAGATAACTAGTTCTAATTGAATGAGGAATCAAGGATAAGCTTACCTCCGGGTTATGAGCCCGGCGCTCTTCCCCTGAGCTAACATGCTGCGGTGAATATTGTTGTATAGAGTGAATATAGAACCAGTCTCATCTAAACGGATAAGAAAGTATAAAAAAGAAAGCTGAATATGGAAATTCAGATATTAGTAGTATAGCATGTCCTGGTTTCGATCCAGGGACCTATTGTTTATTAGATAACTAGTTTTGATTGAATGAGGAACCAAAGATAAGCTTACCTCCGGGTTATGAGCCCGGCGCTCTTCCCCTGAGCTAACATGCTGCGGTGAATATTTGTGTATATTATTGATATATAATCAGTCTCATCTAACGGGTAAGAAAGTCGTGTCTAAAAAAATCTCGGTGGTGCTCAAAATTCTGCTACCATCTCTGAACCCTGTTCAAGGGTTTTCCGTGTATAGGCTCAGCGGGGGCCAAATTTATATTTTTGAACCCTGGTCAGCGGATATAGAGTCTTGGTATATAAAAGTAAACTATATTGACCTTACGTACTGTATATAAACTTAGCCGATACTCAAAATATAGTGAATATATAGTTAGTATATAGTAAGTATATACTCAAAATTATATCCCTGCAAGTGCCACCCTATTTATTCAAATTTATTAAAAATATTTTAAAAGGATACATTGTCTGTTTCTGCTTATTAAAATCTGCAGAATTTTAGATTGGGTAGAATTTATTCTGAACGGGGCTCAAAAATATACCATGTATATGTTGAACAGGGTTCAAGAGGTGGTGGCAGAATCCCAAAAATTTTGAACCCCGTTCAGGTTTTTCCGGATTCCGTGTTGAGCACCGCCAAGCTTTTTTTTGAACCCAGTTCAACTGTGTGCCCTAAGAAAGGGTAAAAAAGAAGGCTGAATGTGCAAATTCAGACATTAGTAGTATAGCATGTCCTGGTTTCGATCCAGGGACCTATTATCTGTTAGACAACTAATCTTGATCAGAGAGAGAAGGATAAGCTTACCTCCGGGTTATGAGCCCGGCGCTCTTCCCCTGAGCTAACATGCTCTGATTGGTGGAATGCTTGAATAAGTTAGCATACTTGAATGGAATGCCTTGGTCTCTATCTAATTCTCGGAAGAGGCAAAAGGGTAGGGCAGGGTAGTAGGACATGTAGGATCACTCTAGCTCTGACTATAAGACTGGAAATGCTTCGATTACTAGTCAAATTGGTTTTGTCGGTTGTTAATGTGTCATAAGCAGCTTGGAAAGCAAACGCTGCTATCTCTATATTATATACTGGTGGCGGGCTATTATATGTGTAAATCATAAGAATTATGTGAGCAGATGCTATGCGGTATATGCTTTCTTTCACTACCAGTTCTATTTATGTTCTTCGGCTTTAATCTGAATGTCTGATTGATTTTACCCATTTTACCTGGTTGGTATCCATATTGATACCACCGTTTCTACATCCTAGGGACATAGACGATTGGTAAAGTGACCTGTGTATATAGGGCTACAAGAAGTCTCGGCTAGAGCAGGGAAGAGGAGGGAAAAAGATATATTGAAAAAGGGGAGAGAAATGGAAAGTATCTGGCTTCTGATTAACCTGCGGATAGCATCACCATGTGAAACTTCGCTGTGTTACCTACTCTGGAAGATAATAAAGGAATGTTTCTACAAGGAATTGGTCATTGGTATTTGCAAACAATACGCCTAGAAGTCAGCAACAGCAAGGCACAAATTAAAAAGCCTGTATATCATACCCGAGACACTTGGTCAATCACGTCAAGGTGTCCTTGTATATTTCCGTCTAAAAATCGAAATATAAAAGTGATTCCCAGCAATTCTTCAGGCGCCGGGGAGATAGTGGAATTGCTAATCAACAGCGGAGGCTCAAGTATTTTAGTAACAATGAACATAGTGTCTACATCAGCAACTACCCTGCCAGTCATGGGTTATTTATCAGAATCCGAAGGACAACTCGCCGGAAAGATGATTTCTAACTCTGAAAGGGCATTGGACTGTGTTGTAGGCAATCCGGGACTTAGTGGTCTTCGCACCATACTTGATATACCCATAGAAACTCCACTGGAATACAATTCTAACAGTTCGGAGTAATTTAAAATAAGCACTATGAAAATATTTCGTCATTCTGGAAGCTGCTAGTCAAAACCACTCTCTCGAGGAGTCTTATACCCACTCATATACATGTTAAAGTCCCAGGAGAGGCAACCACAATATAAGGGAGACTTTTGGTATGCGCAGTGAGGCTAGTGTATCTGAATTGCGTACAGTTGCTCCTAGTATTGGCATAGTCAGACGCGATGATAACGTAGCTCCATGAAGATATTTCAGCTGGCATAGTTGTAGTTTTGGTGCAGATCAAGGTGGGCATCCTGGAAAGACGGTGGTGTTACAACCAGCATATTTCTTTTTGCCTATCGACGCGCCGAGGAGGGGCAATACCATCCAGGGAAGCTTGAGGTTTATCTGTAGCTTTAGACAGAATTAGAGAATACCTCTGGCATCTAGCGCCGGAAGGTTTACAAGAGGTTGACTTAACATCAATCCTAACGTCGGCATATGTGAATCACTGACTCACCCTTCATCACTATTTGAAATGAGCTAATACAAGCCTTGTTTAGCATTGTAGGTTTCCAAAATTCATCATCCAACGACATAGCCCATACTTCTTCGGATTTCACGTTACACACCTGATGTAGGAATGTAATACGGAGATACTTTCTGACTTTCTGAGTCTCAACCAAAGCGTCTAATAATAACCGCAATATTAGTTACGTTCATAATACCTCACCAGTGAAGTAGGATAGAAACACTCATCATGTCCAGAGTGGTGGTACACGTCAGAGGGAGAGATATCCCTCGCCTCAAATTCTGAGAAGTAAAGCACCGATAGAACAAGCTATGGAGAATGGACATAGAGAGCTTCGTAGGGAGCCTTGACCTATGCATATTCTCCACAGAATATGTGTCTACTAAGTCTTGAGTTCAAAAACTGATAGGTAAATTCCCATTTTACCTACCTCTCAACTTCTATGTCAAGTCCACATCCACTTGACCATGTCCATCAGTCGTAAGAAGTCGCTTCATGCTTCACTATCAGCTAGAAGGGTTCGGTTTCTAAGAAAGTCTGTCTGCGCCGCAGTGGAAAGACTGCTACAAAGTTTCCATCTTGCCAACGATCGCCCAATCAATCGGGCTCATCCCACACCAACCTCGCAAGAAACCACTCGATTCGTCGCGAATCACATATATAAACAAATTTCCGGTTCAAGATACCCCACTCATCTAGTTCCTAATAAATTCTCAGTTTATTGGCGCCAACGGAATAATATCGAGATCGCACAGGGCTCCTTGCAGTCCGTGCATGGAGACCAACATATAAAGCTAGCGATGTGATATCAGGTTCAACAATAGTGACCAGCGCAGCTGATACCTGGGGAGAGTCCCACAATGCAGCGTTGACAGCCAACATCTCAGCCAACAAATACCGATGGCGCGATGGTTCGAGGGCCCTGCATGATGTGGCAATCGCGGTACGTATATCATGGGATATATGTCACAATGTCGAACCTCATTATTTGTATAAGCACAACTTATTGCATGATTTCACATAAACGCCGAAAGCCCTGAGCGAGCGCCAGCCGTTCCGGGCCAGCTAATGCAAGGGCAGGTGTCAATGGTCCCAATTGGAAGCCTGACAAATGGCTCCAGGATATTTTCCACGCATGGATCTTGTGATTGCAGCATCGATATCCATCAATTAAATTAATTGGTTCCGATTGTGATACGGATGATACATGTCTGCTGCAACATGTCTGGTCACCCTGGCGATAACCTCAAGGGCGAAGACGGTCAAGATCCCACTAAGCCTCCGGGTAAATGTCCGATTTGACGGCTAGTAAGTTATAATACAGGCCAGTAATGCCGTTGCCTTTTTGGCTGCCTGGGGCGGATGGGAAATTGATAGCTCTTATCAATGACAGCTGTCAACACATCCCTTGCGTACGGCAATTCAAATCGAAGGATTCACGAGCTTCACCGACATAGGACGCCTAATCGAGTCGATATCTGGTAGCGAGAGCCTCTGAGACTATCGCTTGAACTATGTGTCCTTTTCGTCAGGAGACCAGCATGAAAGGCGGGTCGGCAACGAGTCGATCGGCGGCCGAGTCCCAGAGTTCGACACAGTAAAGAAACAAATAAGAAGAGAGGACGGCAGGAGCGATCTCAAGCTAGCGATCTGGGTTTCTCACTAAGACATCCAACGATCTCCAGTGAGTGGATCCGAACCATGATGCAGACTCGGATCCTTTAACTACAATTCCAAATTCTAATCTGCAAAACCAAAACAAAAGGGCGAAAACTGAAACAAAGAGGGAACAAAAAAACCAAAATTACGACGCCAGTCCCGTTTCAATATTTCTTTTCTCAAAAACCAAAACTTCTATATGTCCACTTCTCCAGAGAAAAGAAAAACAAACGCAAGAAAAACGGCCCACCGCCAGGTCCAGGACCCATAATCGATCCGATTTCCGATAATCTCTCACCCGGCGATCGCGGCTGAGACTTCCACCCAAAGAACGATAAGCAGCTGCCTCAGGCTTCCCCACTTGGCACCGATCCAAAGGCCGCCGCCTTTTGGAAATGGGTTTAGACCAACTTTTAGTTGAACAATGGTCACGCCCACCATTATTGGCCTAAAATAAATTTCCACAGCGGTTCTCCATTTTAGGCATGCGACGACGACGGCGGGATTTGCCGGTGGGGTTGAAGGAGTGAATCAAATCCCGTATGTGCATTTGCATACTGCATTGCGATATTCTGCATTATCTCCTTGTCTCGGTGTATTTTCGCTGGAGCCCGGCCAACGGAAGGATGGAAGATGGTTATAATCCCAACCAGAGGATAGTATATGTATTATGGAGTGATCCAACACCGAGTACGGAACGGTCTGCAAATAGTTCCAGCGTTATGTCGAAGTTAATTTCTTCTGTCCTATAGAATTTGGTACACTGCATTTAACCATACATATGACTTTGCACTAGGGAAGACAGTTCATGTATGCAGACCCCATCGAACCATTCAACGAGGAAAAGGGAAAACCAAAAAGAAAAAAGAAATATGACTACTATTCGTTTTTATTTTTTAATCCCCTCGTGTTCGTGCCGCGTTCCATGTCCCATTACGGAGAACCCCGTTTTTTTTCCCTCAGGGGCCAGAGAGAGTGAGTCCGTGTCCATGTCCGTGTCCCACTACGATAGCAGGGATTATTTGCTGGTGTTTCCGATCATCCCGGGACTATGGGAAGTCTAAATTCGAGATCAACTTCAATAGTCTGAGCTGATATTTTTATTTTTCTGGAGCCCGTTGAATTCATTGTTTTACATACGGCTGCATACAAACATACCCTGACGGAGTACAGGCTTATTTGTATTCCCAGAGAAACCGCCCACAGAAAGAAAAAGTATGCATAGATGTACGAACTAGGTTAAGATATCATGCAACAGAAGCATGAGATCAATCCAGATAACCCTAATGAGGAGTTAAAAAGCCACCCAGTCACGGCCCGTGTAACACTTATCCCTGCAAATCTGATACGCACGCCCACAAATAAACTATCCCATTATTCTTTTCAGCTCGTGTTCCACGGCATATGTACCGCACTACGGACCGGTTGCGAGCGTAACGTTGTACACTGACTAGTTCGAGGGCTGGACCCAATTAGTTGGGTTGGAGGTGGTACATAGACTCGGCGAGATTTTTTTTTCTTTTTTCCTTTTTTCATTCACGAAGGGAGATCTGTACGGTATGTATGTATGTATGTATGTATGAAAGTAAGTATGTATGTATGTGTAAGTATACATGGACAGGTGTTCCTCAAATTGTTATCCCTCAGATAGCTAAGCTGCAGAAGCTCGCATGCAAAAACTAAACGCAAAATTAAGGATTGAACTAGTAATGAAAATAACTGTAGCTGGTGAATCCGTACCCCAACAACCTCCCAAGCAAAAACTAAACCAAAGCATGTGGGCCAGAATCAGATCCAGAACCAAAGATAGTTCTGAAGATCTACAACTCCCCGAGCACGGGCTTCTCCTCCTCCCCGAGAGCCCGAATCGAGATCTTCCCCGGCGTAAGGGACAAAAAACATGAAAAGTGGGAAGCGAAGCGCTGAATATTCAACACAACGTATCTGCGTATCGGAGAGCCGGTGGAGACAGGCATCAAAAAACCGTGATCGGGACGTTCCGGTTGCTGGACCCAACCAGCTGCTGCAGTCCTTAGTAAGTTATGGGGACAAGACGGCAAAGATACCCAAGCAATCAGATGCCAAAGCTCTCGGAACCGGAGGGCCGTTTCGAGGCTCCGAGATGCTCGATGCTATAAAATTATCTGAGTCATTGCGAGAAAAGAGACAAGTACCGGGCGGGTATACGGAGTACGGTAACACGCCATGCACGTACGCATGCATCATGTACGTGTTGCATGTACACAGCCACGATGAGTTCAGCTGAGGATGGTCAAGAAAGGGGACGTCGCTGCATATACCCCACATTTTTCTCTTCGTTGTTTGCCAGTCAGAACTTGAACCTCGCGGGTCGCTTCCCGAACGGGGTTATCAGTCAAGCACCGGGGTGCAGATCCATCTTGCCTGAAGGGGTGCAGCTGGAGAAAGGCATTCAGCTGTCTTTGTTTTTATTGTTATTGCCAATATTATTTGATTTGGTTTTGGTTTTATTTTTATTCGTGCCCTTCAGGTAAGGACGACGTGTCCTGCGAAGGATGGATGATCTTTCGGTGATTGACCGCTCGAAGGGTCAAACAATGGGACTGCATTTGACTCGGTGGTAAGGGATGATCGTTGGAGTCATGAATGATATTTGAGGTGGTTTGGAGTTCTTGGTATGCGTGGAACAGGGCCTCGATATGGAGACCTACTAGTAAACAATGAGCCATGAACACATTAAGAGTAAGTCCTAGAGAGACAAAACACCCCATAATTAGCAGATGGAGAAATGACCTAATTAGCCAGCCACGCCCAGACCAAAAGCAATCTTAAAATCTTCCAGAACAAAGTCAACAAACACTCTAAATTACGTCCCAAATGACGTCGACATGGACCCGACCGGCCGGGTCTCGGAGACGCTCCATTCTTTTTGGATCAATGGGGCCAACTTAAACCGACAGATGGTTCCAACCTTGGAACACAATCATACCATAAACTTCCTAATGGGGGAAATCCTCGGCTGGAAGGATTTGCATGGCAACGGAGCCTAGTACCGTCTAGGTTAAGACGGTGGCATGATCAAACTGATTTGAAATCAAAAGTGAGGCACCGATGCACACGGCAGGCGAATAATTCCAAATACTCAACGTCAAGTCATTCAAACAGATGGGGCAATCCAAGCAAGTAGCGGTATGTATAGTACTTTCACGGTACTCAGATGTACACGTATGTATGTATGTATGTATCGTATTTAATTTAGGTAGGGGACCGAGATTAGGAACCGAGTTAAAGTGCTTCCTGCCTAATTAGGTATGTCAGGGCAGACACCTTATGTCCCTCGATTGAAGCCTCACTATGGAAAAGATAAAGACAAAGACAACGGAAAATTCAAAAGAAAATTCGGATTCCAGTAAACTTTTGTCGTTTGTCTTAATCATGTCAAATGAACAGGGAAATCTTCGAATCGAAAATACCAGATACCATACACAAGATGTTACACCCACCGAAAGCCGCAGATGGCCGAAACCACAGGAGAACAGATCCGAGACATCTCCATCGCCATCTCCATACATACGTGTTTCTAGAAGGCATGGTATATTGAAAATATTGAGCGGTGAGACAAATGTTTCCGTCACCATCTGGTGGCGTTGGGATCATAAGCCATGATCGGTTGAAGCCGATATCATGCAAGATGAGATGAGATGCGATGAGATCAGATCCCGATCGATTTCGATAGTCGCATTGGCGCCCCTTGAACCAGCCCTTGGACCCAACCAGTCCACCCCAACTAAATTGTTTTAAGATTAATATCGTTCTGCGACACCAAGAATCTGAAAAATGAAGAATTTGATGAACCTTAAACCCCCAACAAGATCAATCGGCCAAATCTCACTTTCTCCGCGGAAGCGTTAAGCCGCTCAAAAAAGAAAAGATCGATGGCAACGCTCAGGCCATCTTGAACTGGTCCCGTGAGCTGGTTCTAGTCTGTTCTAGGGCCGCTTGGCATAGTTGCCATGGACTGCCAGCCAATCAACGCTTGGCAGCTGGGCAATTGAGTCGGATTACGTAAATTGTATACGCTATACTGGATTTGGAAAGTTGAGGATTGTGTCGTATCGATGGCAAACTTGACTTTTTCGCAATCGGGCGTATATGCTTATGTGAGACGCTTTTTTCTTTTTCTTTTCCTTTTCCTTTTGCCAAATGATGTATTTTGATCCAAAAAGAATCTTTTTTTCGTAGAGCCTCAGGTCTTGAGAATGACGTAGGGCGAGGCGTCACAAGAGGTTGCCCAGATTCACATGGCATCAGACCAGATCCAACCATGCAGTATGTCCCTAGTTAGTACCACTGGTGGTAGCGAACAGAATCCCGATGACCACGCAACTAGTGAGAATGGTATCCATCATCCCAAAATGGATAATTATACTAGGAGGCAAACCATCTTAAGGTCGCCGAACACTCGGGGAGGTCAACACGATGACGGCGGTGGCGGATCTACAGGGTCTCGGGAAGACCGATCGATACAAAACAAACCTCCGATTTGGACATAATACGTTGCCCCCTAACTTGCATCCAGGGCTCAAGTAGGAGATGACCATCTTGATCAGACCACCTCGAGCCAAGCCCGGTGTGTGATATTCGCCACCACTGCGGATCCATGAATTGGGTGCCTTACGCCAGAACGAGAGAGCGACTCGAATAGAGATCTTGGTTTACATCAGATATGTATAGTATTATTGTCCGTGACTAGTCAACTTTTCGAACAGAGGCAATTCAATCAAATAAGGTTACATTAATCACTGCATCGAATCAAGCGCCTCTTTAAACCTCCCATGGAAAACGTGAGTGCATAAGAAACATCATATGGCACACTGGGAGTGTAGGGCAATCAAGTAAGGTTGGGTAGGAGACGTGGGTAACTGGGGTATAATTGTAACAGATCGCAAAACAGTAAGGAAAAACCGGTGAACAAAAGAAAATAAAAAAAAAAGGCAAGGAGAAAGAAACTGTGTACATGCTGGTCCCACAGAAACGACACAATAACCAGAGCGAAAGTCTATCCAGATGCCTTTTTCCCACAACGTGCGAGGGGTATTAAAAAAGTAACTCCAACGACCAATCGGACAAGAACAGAAAAAGTCCAACATGCTCGGAACATTTCGTAACCACACCTGAAAAGGAAACCCGGAGCCCAAAACAAATCGAACTGTATCATGTCCAAGGTGAATTATCAGGAATGACACCAACATATGAGGTTTATGATCAACGAGGAAATAGAGGCACAGAACGCCAAACACTTCTAATCCCAAAGCCTTTCTTCGTTTTTCTTTCTTTCTTTCTTTTTCTTTTTCTTTTTCTTTTCTTTTCTTTTTTTTCTGTTTTTCAGCGCCACATAAAGGGACGTCTGATATGTTAACGGCCAGTTGGAGATGCGGAGTCAAGAGTCTTGGGTTTAAGGTTGGAACCCAAGGACGATGCCTGTTTGGCACCCATCTTGCGCGTCAACTTGGCATAGTGCAATCCACATGCGTTGCATAGAGTCCGAGCACCATCTGGACCGCGGCGCCATTCTGGTGTCTCAGCTCGGTTGCAACTGTGGCAACGGCCAGGGGGGGCTGCTTTCTGTAGTTTGTGTTAGTGACAGCGAATAGGAAAACAGGGATAAACCGGATGGATCCAGGGTACTGGGACCATGGGGCCCATTCACACACAGACAGCAAGGAACAAAAAATAGGGAAAAAAAGGGAACATACCCCTCGTCGCTTCTTCGAATCTGGTCCGGCAAAGCCGCCACTACCCTTGTATTCGTCTTGGTACATTGCCATGTGGTCATCGTCACGGACCCCACCGGCCTTGAAGGCTTTTCTTTGGGCCATTTGTTCTGCCAATGCGTGCTCTTGGCTCACAACTGCAGCTCGTATACGTAGTAAGGCATCCTGGTTCCGGCGCTGAACACTAAGCATCTCCTCCACTTCCTGTAGAGAGGGCATTGCAACGGGCCCAGAACGCTGGGACTGGTGCGCTCTTGCAGCGTAGTGCCGTGAAAAGTCCAGCGTGCGCGTGCTCATCTCCGCAATCTATTCATAATTAGCCAACTGAAAAGAGGATCGAGTATCCACTCTAAAGCCACGTTTCCCAGGGGACAAGGTCACGTACCTCATTGAGCGATGTCTCCACATCATACACGTCCAAATGCCGTTTGACAGAATCGCCCGGGATCTGTCCCGCAATAGCACGACCCGTAAGTCCGGCCTTCATTTCCTCGACACGCGCCATTTCGGGCACACCCGACTTCCATGTAGTACCGTAGGGTCGGGTGTCATACGCAACTGGATACGCTGGCGCATTTGGTGGAGGCTGCGACTGGAAGGAGAAGTTCTGCGGAAATGGACCATAGCCATTGGGAGAGGCGATGCTGCCCGCAGAAGTAGGAGCACTATATTCATACGCCGATCCCGTCTGTGAGCCAGCAATTGACGTGATCCCCGTTTTTTGACTCTGCGTGGGTGATTTGCCCGAACTCAGGGATTGAATCGAGTGATTTCGCGAATCTTGAGTGGTAACTGACGCCAAACTCCCCCGAGATGCTTCTGCTTGCAGTTGAGGTTGAGGGTACGCTGAGTCCCGCACCACATAAGGCCCTGATGATATTACATTTGAAAACGGATTCGATGGTCCTGACGGTGCTTCGACAGTCGGTCGTCCTATAACATTTGAAGATAGAAGATGCGAATGTGGCGCATGAGGAGGCTGCTGAGGAGCCGCCGACGTGGGCGCAGGATACGGAAGGGGGTTATCATTTCCTAAAGCCTCGTGGATGGACGGAAGTGATTGCCTTTGTGGTTGTGACTGTTGCTTCTCCTTCTCCTCTTCAAGTACGCGCCGCGAATCCGTAGGCGAGATATAACCAGGCTGCACAGAGGGTGCGCTGGCGGACGATGTTGGGTACGAGCATGGTAATGGCTGGCCGGAATACATGCTTGTTGGGCTGAGAAGAGCTCCTGGCGATGTTACAGGGCCCGGTGCAACAGCTGGGTGTTTTGGGGGATATCCCGATCCGTCTTTTCCTAGAAAACCAAGGCTGGTAGATGGTCCCTACGTGTCCAGGAAGGTTGAAATCAGTACATGTGATCCGAAATGAACTCGGACGCTTGAGGTGACGAGGAGGCGATGAAATTAATAAGGTACGAACCTATGCCTATGACTGGCTTCCAATGACCCCATCATGCCAATGCTTCCGATTATATCTTTGCGATTTCGCCCTTGACCTCATGCACCATCAGTCACCTCGGCTAAAATATAATAGCGTACCGTGGGAGAGGGTACCGATTCGTTAATTATTAAAAATAAAATAAATCAAAGGGATAAAAAAGATGATAGCGTGAGTGGGTTTCAACGGCGAAAGCGACCGGCCGAGAACAGTGAGCTTCAGAGGCGAAGGGATGGAAAGGAATAACAATTCCAACCGTTTTTCCGATAAGCGATTGCCGTCCTTCGAGTGCGCGTCACCAACCGAGTAAATCGAATTCGAAGGCTCTTCTTCTTTCTTTTCTTATTAATTCCGATTGATGAAAGAAAAGAAAGAAAAAAAATAGAAAGTATCAGCCACCTTTCTTCCCTTGAACCAGAGTTGTCTGGGGGTGGGTGGCGGTTGTGGGGAAGGGAAAATGAAGAGAAAGAGATCAAGTCGGGCGAGATGCGGACGTAAGAAGAACCCAAGAAGGAAAAGACCCGTCGGTTCCGTGAGTCGGCCCAGAGAGGAATAGTTAAAGTAGAGAGCGGCGACTCGATGATTGGGGAGGAGCTCCAAGAGTGTGTGAGAGAAAAAAAAAAGTGGCGTTTTGGGGGGGGGGGGAATGGGGGGAAAGGAAGATCAGGCAGTCTGCAGGCGATGCGATCGCGATTAGAATACCCGCAATTCAAATGCAATTAATTCGATAGCAAAAGTACGGCACGCACCCGTAGTGCGCAGCGAACAGATCAGATCGGAACGGCCCTTCCTGCGTCTGGAAGACTCATCTGTCCAAAGCCAAATTCGCACAGCGAAATTTAACAGTCAGATTTCGAATCCTCAGATAGACTCGACTTGTGGTTTGAGTTTGGTGAGCGGGTGTCGAGCGGCGGAGGCGCAGTAAACGCAAGGGATAACAAGAGATATGAGTGCGTCGCGTGGAAGGGGGACAAGGCTTTCTAATTGTCTCTTTTTCGTTCCCGACAAAAAAGAAACTGGAAGTGGCAGAAAATAAAACCAAGTATAGAGAACGTGTGTAGAGATGATAGAGAGGAAGAGGACGAGAGGAGGGGTGAGAGTTATTAGTGGGTAAAAATTATAGACAGAGACAATGTCTTCGGGGGGAAGGAAAAGAGTAAGAACCGTCCTCTGTTTTTCCCTGGGAATGTG